CCCATTCATCTGTCCAGAGAGAGAGAGAGAGGGAGGGGAAAAAAAAGTCAACATCAGCTAGAATGTTAAAACACTATAGCAGGGGTGCACAATCCTAAAAACACCTGAACCAGCTAATCAAGGTCTTAAGAATTAGTTTGTTTACAACAAAATACTTGTTACTTTTTTTTTTAAAAAGTAGCCCTCATCATTCTTTTTACATTTATTGACTGGCTCCTCTACTGTCCCCATGTTGAGAGAAATCCGAATGGGAGAAAGGTGCGATTCTTCATCAGTATATAAAAACATTTGCTTATGTCCATCAGATGTCTGTCTGTCTAAATCCATTCAACCACTATCAGCTCAAATGAGTTTTCGACTCCCTCTGGAAGTGGTCGAAAGTGGACACGCTGAAAACATTACAGACCATGTTTGCACCTGTATTTAGCGTTGTCCACTAGTGATCGGATCAAGAAAAACGCATCTGAATATCAGGTGTAAACAGGGCCTAAAAGAGTGTGAGAGCAACGGCCAGCTGAATGCAGAATGCAAAAGTAGCAAATTATTAGTAATGCATTACTTTTAAAAATAACATTACTGTAATACTAGTAATGTACCATTATACGGTTACAAGTAAAAATCCTAGAATACTCACTCAAGCATGCAATCAAGATGCATTTACAGTTACAAAGGCAAAACACTATGCATTTTACAAAAGCATCATGCAAAAACTTGCTGTTATTTAGAGGGATAGTTCAACTTCAGTTGCTGGTCCCCATTGACTTCCATAGTAAGTCAATGGGGACCAGCAACTGAAGGTGAACTATCCCTTTAATGCATGGGGACCATGAACGTCGCTCTGGCGTTTGAGAGACATTGACAATACTTGACCTTCTTTCCTTTTAACCCAGGCGACATAGTGGCCAGATGAACTGGATCGCCCCTGATGCGTCAGAACCGCTTGCAGGTCGTAGTAACCACTGTTGCTGGAGCCCAAGTCTATAGAGAAGACAAAGTTATGAGTTTATAAATCCACCCGCAGAGTAAACTTTCCGAACCATGTTTGAAATGGAAAAGAGCTTTGCAGCGTGCATTTACCTTCAGAAAAACAGAAAGGTTCGTATTTTGTTTCCTTTGGAGCCCCAACCTTCAGATTCTCCTGTTGAATGAGAAATAAAATGATTTGACGGGCAGTTTCTCTAAATGCATGAAGCGTTCAGTGTGACATCACAGGGCACTTGCTTTCGGCTGCTGCTGCATCTCCAGTTTCTTGTCTTCAACCACCTTGAACTTTGACCTCACAGAAACCATCTTCTCCTGCAGTTCAGCAGTGCACAGCTCATAGACGTCCAGCATAAGAGGAAATTTGACATCCTAAACGCAGCAAAATTAAAATGCACACAAAATAACAAATCAATACAACAAATCAAGACTTCATAGGCTGACTCACTCCAGAGCAAATGACCTACCTTAAGGACTTTGGCATTCACAGACTCTTTTTCTTTGTAAAAGAACCGGACCATCTGAACCGTGAGGTATGCCGGGAGACGGCTGATTTTGGACTTAAATGCAGTAACATAACAAGTGACTGTTCATTTCATTGTTGAACGAAAGAGAAAACACTTGAACAAAAGAGCATTTCTCCAAAGATGCCACAAAAGTCAGAAGATAAAGCATACCGATTTGATATAGAGGGCGTTTCTTTTCAAGGATGGGGAGAACTTTGTAATGTCCTCCTGTAGCCTCTAGATACAATGAGGAAAAGATAAAGATGAACAGGGACTGTGAGCTCTGGTGGTACTTCCAGCTGTTTGTATGGGACGTCCCACTCACCAATCTGAGTCCAGTGGCGAGATATTTGACTTCTGTATTGATGAAGCAGCTAAGCTGCAGCTGGCTCTCTGTGCCTTTAGTTGGATCCTCATCCTCTGACTCGGTGCACTTCATACTGGACACATACAGGTCAAGGACCTTCAAATATTACACCCGTTCATATGGAACTGGAGAAAACTCAGGTTCAACTGCATGAAGTATTGCAAACCTCTCAATATACATGTAGTATGGCAGTGTCCAATCCAAACAATGCAGTGAATTCAAAAGAGAAAAGTAAACAAATAGTCAGATGCATTGTAGAACTTAGGTCATATCCTCGGACAACTTTAATTTAATGCACCGCATCTCACTTACTGGAAGCGCAAAATATCACTTTAGGATCACTTTAACAGGTGAACGTTTAAGCAAACGGTGCGATGCAGCTTATAAAGTAAAAACAGCCACAGCACACAGAAGTAATATCTGAGAGAGCACACACTGGTATAGATTTGCCCAACAAAGGATACGTAGTTTCAAATTCAACACCAAAATACTGATCGATGAAATTCTTCGTTTTTGTGGAGGCAGCGGCTCCACTATCACTGTCAATCTGTTAATCAATCAAAAACATACAATTATTAATATTATTAATTATATTAATAATTACAATTATTTGAAAAAAAAAAAAAAATACAATTTCTAGTTTCCAAAAAATATATATATGATAAAGACATAAAATTTTGTTTCTATGGAAGTCTATTTCCACCATGGAATAAAACATATAAAAGGTAATTGCGACTTTTTAATCTCACAATTCTGACTTTTTTTTCTCAGAATTGCGAGTTATAAAGTCACAATTACGAGTTTTTATCTCGCAATTGTGACGTTAATTGTGACTTTATATCTCGCAATTCTGACTTTATAACTCGTAATTCTGACTTTTTCTCGCAATTCTGACTTTTTATTGGGAGTTATAAAGTCAGAATTGAGAGATATAAAGTCACAATTAACGTCACAATTGTGACTTTATAACTCGCAATTCTAACTTTATAACTCGCAATTCTAACTTTATAACTCGCAATTCTAACTTTATAACTCGCAATTCTAACTTTATAACTCGCAATTCTAACTTTATAACTCGCAATTCTAACTTTATAACTCGCAATTCTAACTTTATAACTCGCAATTCTAACTTTATAACTCGCAATTCTAACTTTATAACTCGCAATTCTAACTTTATAACTCGCAATTCTAACTTTATAACTCGCAATTCTAACTTTATAACTCGCAATTCTAACTTTATAACTCGCAATTCTAACTTTATAACTCGCAATTCTAACTTTATAACTCGCAATTCTAACTTTATAACTCGCAATTAATTTAAAAAGTCAGAATTGAAAGAAAAAGTCAGAATTACGAGTTTTTTTCTCGCAATTGTGAGTTATATCACGCAATACTGTGGAAAAAAAGCCAGAATTGTGAGATGAAGTCGCAATAACCTTTTTTTATTTTTTATTCAGTGGCGGAAACAGGCTTCCATACGCTTCTCTGTAAGGAAATAGTTATGAAATAGAATATATAATATGATTAGCTTGCCTCCAGTGGGGTTTCTGGTTCTTGTGGTTCTAATTTCTGCTGAAGGACCCGCATAATCTGAACCCAGCACTCACTGGCATCCTGGGTGAAAAAAAAGAAAGAAAAAAAAACATTTTATAACTTTCCATTTTAACAGAAAATATTCAGATTAAATGTGTTCCAGTTAAAATATGTGACCTGCTGGAGGTACTGGCCCTGGTCTCCTTTTTCGGCGAACTGTGGGAAGGCCAAGTGCAGGAACTGCAGCAGGATGATGGGCGGAATGCTTGACGAGGTCTTATCCATGGACTCATACAAATCACGCATAGCTAAGTGAAGAATTCACTTGATCAAACATGTGCTACACGTTCAGATTCAATATGACTATCCAGCTTAATTCTTTCATGCTTTAAGTTCAGCTCGGACATACAGATCCTCAAGCATTGACAGAAAGTCAAGAATTTTGTAACCTCAAAACTAAAAGACGCAGTGAAAGTTTGTCACCTGCTGTGATGTACTGGGAAGGAGCATTGGCTCCAGAAGACCGCAAAGCACCAGAGTACCTACAGATGGAGGAAAATGATCACAAAAAGACATTGATGCATTATGCAAAATAAAATCTTTGAACTTAATATGAAGGACATGGCCTAAATTGTACCTCCTGAGAGCGACTTTGAGCTCAGGCACAGAGCGTAGACACTGCACCGTTGCGTTCATGTAGCATGTGTTGCCCAGATTTGTCAATCCGCATGGCAACTCCATCTGAACGTGACAGAGATTACAGAAACGAGTTGTTTCTGTGATTCCTGCTAAAATACTGAAGTAGCTGATTATTTTGAGCCAAATCCTGTTGGCTGAAAACTTACCGCAGATGCAAGCTGCTCCTCCGTCATGTCCTCCACAAACATGGGCCGCACTACAGGCTCTTCAGGCAGAGCGTCAGCGGAGCCCATCATCAGAAGAGTCATTCCCTACATCGATCAAAACATCTGCTTAGCTGAAGACAACTCACATTTAGAGTCAACATGAAACAGCATTTGCAACCCACTGATATGTGATAGTGTGATGCATCACTCAAGCAGGAAGATGGGTTGAACTTGATTTGAACCGTCAGAAATTTATTGGGTGTTCTAATACAGAATGGAGCCAGTTAGCAGTGGATTGTTGAAACATATTTTTAAGGAGGTTTATTTTGACCAGGACTTGGAGACTGATGGTCAAGTTCACAGTTGAGCATGCAAGCCTTTCAAAGTGTACTACACTGGCGGTGAATACAGATGGACAAGTTCGTCACATGCACACTACCTAGTGAACGCTGAGCGCTCAATTCAATGAGCGTGATGCAATTTGCTAGAGTGTTTCAATGCATGTTGTTGTTTTAACTAGAATTAATAAAAGAGTTTAAAAGTTTGTATTGCAGCTTTGCAGAGTCTATTTGTTGACTTTGTTATTGCTTGAGTTTAATAAATTCACTTTGTGGATTTTTGATTGCATATTAAATTGTACTTGGTTTTGTATCTTGTTTAAATGCATATTCTGTGCCTAATTCTCATGAGTGGTATAATTCTGTGCAAAGTTCTTTTTTTTTTTATACTAAACCTGAATTGTGGTAATAGGAATTTAGCCCCCACTTTATATTAGGTGTCCTTAGATATAATGAATTGTTTGGTACTATGTGTTCATGTTGAATTACAAAATACGTTTGCTGCTTTTGCGGTGGGTATGGTTAAAGTTCAGGACAGGTTTTGTGGTATGGTTAGGTTTAGATTAGGTTTAAGCCGGGTGGGCTAAGGTGTAGGGTTTGGATCAACAGTGTAATTATGAATGTAAAAAAAATTTATATTACAGATACAACTACAGGAAGGTATTTTTAAATATAAGTACAATGTAAACACCATGAATATAAGTGCACTGTATCAAATGCTTAATTCAAATCTAAGAACATAGCCTAGTAGTTAAAAACACTTCATATAAAGTGGGTCCGGAATTTATTTATATCATTTATGAACAGCTGTAACATTTATCGAGAAGGAAAGCTGTTGTTTTCGGTAGTCCTCCAGCACAGACGGAGGCACACGATTGGCTGCTTCTCTAGTCAGAAGCACAGGTGACTGCTATTAGTGTCAACAAAACGTATAATAAGACCAAGAACAAGTATTAATGAACTAAATAGGAATCAACACTGATTTTAAGGTGTACTATTGGATAACCCCGTTTGGATCATATCCTTAAAGGGTTAGTTCACCCAAAAATGAAAATTCTGTTATTAATTACTTACCCTCATGTCGTTCTAAACCCGTAAGACCTCATCTTTCTGAACACAAATTAAGATATTTCTGATGAAATATGAGAGCTTTCTGACCCTCCCATAGACAGCAAGGTAACTACCACGATCAAGGTCCAGAAACGTAGCAAGGAGATCAGTAAAATAATCCATGTGACATCAGGGGTTCAACTGTAATTTTACGAAGCTACGAGAATAAATTTTGTACGCAAAGATTACAAAATTAACGACTTTATTCAACAATTCGTCTCCTCCGCGTCACCCTGGTGCCATTTTGGAGAATATCAGCTGGACGTAAACAGCGTATGCTGTTCTGTGTCAGCTGCGTCACGCGGCACCAGGGTGACGTGGAGGAGACGAATTGTTGAATAAAGTCGTTAATTTTGTAATCTTTGCGTACAAAATTTATTCTCGTAGCTTCGTAAAATTACAGTTGAACCCCTGATGTCACATGGATTATTTTACTGATCTCCTTGCTACGTTTCTGGACCTTGATCGTGGTAGTTTCCTTGCTGTCTATGGGAGGGTCAGAAAGCTCTCGTATTTCATCAAAAATATTTTCACTTGTGTTCCGAAGATGAACTAAGTTCTTACAGGTTTAGAACGATATGAGGGTGAGTAATTAATGACCGAATTTAAATTTTGGGGTGAACTAACCCTTTAAATGTTTAACTAATAACTGCTGAATTCTGATTCCAGAACAAAAATTCATTTTCAGAATCTTAGAAAATAGATCTAGCCACATACTTACATTTTTCAACTTGATGTTGCCCCACTCGTCATCCTGGCGAACAAAAGTAAAATAAGTCAAACAGAGGACAGCAAAATACTAATGTTCTCATTTACAGCTCACAGCCGGTACCTTCAGCGTTCCACCTTTCACCATGACTTTCTGTCTCTCTGGCTGAACCCCCGTTAGAGCGAAGAGCTGGGCTTTGAACACCATGGGAGGCTCCTCTGTATTCAGCTCCACCGCATCAAACTTCTCCTTTCCCCATTTCACATTCACTAAGATTGCAAAAACAAATGAGAAATCAAGACACTTCAGAGACACAGCAAAATCACTCAGTATCTGCTGATAATAAAAAGAAAGAAACTTTTTCCACCAACAGCGATTTTCGCAATTATCATCAGTTATTAATTATTAACTTGTTTTGGAATTAAACCAACTAGTTAACGCTGCTAAAATAGTGTTTCTAACACAAGGTCTTAAGGAGTGACAATAAATTTGCTGTAATCAAACTCTCTATAGTTTTCCCCCTCTTTTGGAAAGTTGTGTAAATGTTGTTATCATAGATTTTTTTCATTTTGCTATTGGAGCAAACTGGAGCGTAAAAAGCACGTCTCGAATTCATCACGATATTAGGTTACCCATCTCTGACGACTTTTGCTTCTGAAAACCCTGAAATGTGAAAAGGGTCCATAAAGGAAACATCCAAAATGTGTGGTACAGGTGAGACTCCAGGAACAGCTTTAAAACAGCCAGCTCACCCAAAAGTGAAAATTCAATAATCTTCCACTCAAAAATAAGATTTTTTTGTTGTTGTTCTGTTTGGGTGGGAAACAAATATTAATAGCATAACGA